GGCCGGTCCAATGGGTCGGGCCTTCGTCGTCGCCAATCCTCTTCTCTTCCTTCCCGGAAGTCTCTCCTTCTATCATGTTCTTCTCGCCTGATGGACTCCCGAGGTGGCATCCTCCCGTTGCTGTTAAGCAATTCCACCTCCTCTTCCTCTTCTGGATTCACCTTCTCCTTACCCCTACTTCCACTACCTTCTCCTCTGTCCTCCACTGGCACAGCCCTTGCTTGCCCTTCCAACAACTTCTTCATCATCTCCTCCAAAGCCATGAATTTCCCTTCCACATTCTCACTCAACGTCGCCATCTTCTCCTCCAGGTCCGCCTTAAATTGACCCACCTCGGTCTCCAAGACTTCTACACGTTTAGATGCCATGGGAACCAAAAGATGGTCTCCGGATCCCTTCCGAAAAGCAAAAATCTGCAGCGAGACAGTGGACAACAGCCCCCCCACCGTCCGGATCTTCGCTCTGATACCAATTTGATAGGAAACACTTGGATTTCCAAGTGTTTCTCACCAACACCCAGCAGATCTAGGAGAAAAACTGCTGTCCACAGCAGAAAATCAGCCCAAAAAACAGTGAAATCTGAGAGAAATAGGGAGAAATCCTTGTAAAACAATAGAAACGATTGTATTCCACTAGTAGACAAACAAAACCAAAGCAAGATACAATGTTCTTCAATTCGAGAGGAAGAACAACTCTCCAACAATCTCCGGCAACGCCAAGAGCCCAAGCAAGAAAACCTAGAAGACAAAACTCATTCAAAATCAAGATGAAACCCTAATCCCCTCATAACTCCCTATTAATACAATCTAATTCAAATTAAAAGCAAAAGGACTACTCTACCCTTCCTTCTCCCTCCAAAAACACTTAACCCATGTTTGAATTGCAAGTGGACCCCACTCCCTGGCTCCCTCTCTCTTCCGCCCGGCTCTGTGTCCGCCGTCTGTAGAACTGGACCGGCTGGGCCGGTCCAGGTTGAGCCGGTCCAAGCTGGACCGGCATAACACAATTCAATAAACTATTCAATGTCAACATTGATTTATTTATTCTCCTTATCATTATAAATGTTCTTCAACTTCAACTTCAAGTTCAAGACCTTCACTACTTCTAGGTGTTACCAAGTGGTCCTTTAGTCTGTTTCTCACAAAAATTGTATTTCATGTAAATACACCTCTTTTTCGCACCTTCACTTGGCACTTAAACTTGCATGTCATATTTTCAAGTTGGATCTTTTCTTTTTACGCCATCAACCATTCTAATAAATCAAAGAAATTAATAAAAGACCATCAAATAAAAAAAAATGAACTTAACAAAATATATTTACAATAACTTTTGATAAGATAATCCAAATAAGATGGAACAGGGCGATAAAACAAGTAAAATTCTATAAGACAATTCAAGCATGTCTAGAGTGAAGAGAGCAGTAAATGGTACAAATTTCAGGAAATTATAATGATACGATGCACAAAAAAAAAAAAAAAAAAAAATGCAATGAAAAAAAAAAAAAAAAAAAAAAAGAATGCAAATGAAAATGACCATTCTTCTTGGAGATTTGCTCAAATCATCAACTTTCTTTTCACATGACTGCAGATTAAACACAAATCTCAACATTCTTATCACATGAGCATGACTTAAGACTAAATCCTGTTAAAAGCAAAAATGACAACATTAAATCATACAGAAACTTAAATCACATTCCTTCTTTAATGGATTTGAGCAAGATTTAAGCATGATTTAATCTAAATCCTGCCAAAAAATAAAGGATTACTTTAAGTCCTACATAAAGTTAAATTCCATTCCTTCTTTGGTGGATTTGAGCAAGATTTAATGATGATTAGCCTAAATCTTGCCAAACAGCAGAAATAACATCTTTAAATCCTATAGAAACTTAAATCCCATTCCTTTTATGCAGAATTTGAACATGATTTAAGCATGATTTAGCCTAAATCTTGCCAAACAACAAAAATGACAACTTTAAATATGACAAAAACTTAAATTCCGCTCCTTTGGTGGATTTGAGCAAGAATTAAGCATAATTTAGCCTAAATCATGCAAAATAGCAAAAATAACAACTTTAAATCCTACAGAAACTTGAATCTCTTTCCTTCTTTAGTGGATTTTAGTAGGATTTAAGCATGATTTAGCCGAAATCTTGCCAAACAACAAAAATGACTACTTTAAATCCTAAATTAAATCGCATTCCTTATGTATTTTGCTTTAACGGAATTTAGTCGAAGAAGCGCGTGATAGGAAAGAAAGTTTGTTACGTTTGCTGCGAGCTCCCGTCGTAACTTCTAATATGATAGGAACAGCATTGTTGGAGCAAAGAAGCTTCCTTGAGTGTCTCTTTCAAAACTCTACTTCATGTGCTGCAGTCGAAGCATGTGAAGTTGAAACATCAACGAAGAAACCTTGAGTGCCTGTTGGGGATGTACTCAATTCTAGGTGCTGATTGCGTGTTGGAGACAAGCTCGATGTTGAGGTGCTGCATTGCATCTCGCATGTTGGAGATGCACTTGAAGCTGGGAAGTTGCAAAGGATCTACGAAAAACTCTTGTAACCTCTTTCTCCCGAGACCTACCTGATCCAATTCAAAAAACTGCTGCTCACGCGAGAGTGGCTGGGACGGAAAGTTAAATTTTGAGTAATATTAAAAAAAAAAACCTTAAATTTAATAAAATTGTTTGAGGCAGCGCCTCAAGATGTCTTGAGACGTATGTCTGGTATGAAAAAGACGTAAGCCTCACTAAAGCTAGTGAGGCTTAAGCCTTGAAGCACCCATCATGCACCTCAAGGCGCACCACTCGATTGCTTTTTAAAAACATGATATTTTTGCATTCTATCATATATGTGGAGATTCAACCCTCAAGACAATGTTATATGCTATGTGTGCTGTGCGGTTTAATCTTGTAGGCTTATTAGTGTAATTTAGTCATCACAAGCCTTCTTAGTAGAACTCTTCTATGCAGAAATAAAAGAAGCTCTTGAAGCTCTGTGTACCCCACCTTATTTGGTTCAATCATCTCCTACCCCACCTTATTTGGTTCAATCATCTATAGGAGGATCTATGACATAGAATGTCTAGGCTTTCGATACATGATCCCTTGAATTGCGGAACTTGCAATGGCTATGAGAACCTCTATTCATGCTTCACGACTCGTGCAAGATATAGGACCTTTTTGTTCTTCCCTACATGTTTTCCACTTGCCTGCTTGGCTCATCCCTAATATTAGTAGGGCTTATTGCTTTTTAAAAAAATAATATAATCTTTCCAAAAACCTACTTAGCAGCAGATTACCTTATACAGTCTGGAATTTGTATGCATATTTCTGTTTAATTTTCTATTTTTAAATATAATTTAGCTACCTGAGTGAGCTATATGCTAATTTCCATCATGAACTTTTACAGGTTAGCTGCCTGCATATACTCTGCAATATTGTTCTCTAGCTGCTCCTGATTCCTTGTGTACCACTGTTATAAGAGTTTTAGGTTTTTAAAGCTGATGTAACACTATTTTCTTTAACATTCATGTCAATTTTGTTGAACTATGTAGTCTAAATGAGATGAGGCTTTTACCTATATATTATTTATAGTTCCCGAAAACAACATTGTTTTGAGTTTGTTTAAAATTTAGCTATCTAATCTGCCGTTTTGATGCGATCACTTTCTTAAATTCTCTGGTATTTGCTTCCATTAATATTTTCTGGTTGTGTTCACATGTATTAGTTTGTAAAAATTGATTTTGCTTGAAGTGTGGATGGTAGTGGTGAATATATTGATAGAGCCAGTAAATTTATTATGTTGAAAAATTGGAGTAAGTATATGCCCTATAATTTGTGATACTTTAGGTTTGTTTGGGATAGCTTTCTGATTGTTTTGTCTTTTAGATAACAATTATAATTTCATTTGATTATTATCATTTTTAGCTTTTTCATTATTTTTAAGAAATTTGTGTGTTGGAATGTTGTTTGCTGCAATTATAGTAGTACATATGTTTTTTTATAATAACCAATGTTTTGAAAACCGGACCGGACCGGTTATATATTATATTAAGTATTATTCTTATAAATATATTATTCTTAAATGATATTTATATGTATAAAATTTTATTATATATTTTAAAATTTTATAAATATTATTTAAATATTCATATACTTATATTATATGATTTTTATTTTATTAATTTTTAATAATATTATTATTTATTACGTCATCTGGTTTGACCGGTCGAACCGGTCGAACCGTGAACCTCTCCCTCTTCCGGTTCGTTATCCGGTCTAGTTTTCACAACCTTGATAATAACTTCACAATTAATTTTATAAAATATTGTTCCCGTCCCAAACAGACCCTTCAGAGCATATCAAAAGTGATTATGGAGCAGTGCTTTCATAATTTAACTTTTTAGACGTCAGAAACACTTTAGTTTGATTATTATTTTTTGGTAGATTTTCTATAGTTTTTGTGATTGTTATTTATTACGATCAGATATACTAATATCTGATAAAAAATTATATTACTCAATAATTTTACAAAAAAAGTTGGTTCTATTGTAATAGTTTTATAACATTTTTTTTAATAAAATATGGTCACAGCAAATAACTCTTATAACTTGTTGAGATGGAAGGTTTGCTTTTAGGCTGTGTATAACGTTTGCTTTTCGGCCATGTAAGATTTTTGGTTCTTCATAAGCTTTAGGTATGCATAATTGATTTGGTAGACGTGTGCTTAGTATTAAGTAGATTTTCAAATGCAGCATTATCTCATTTTAAGTTTTGTTTCGGACGGCTTTTTTTCTGCTTCTTAGGGCATCTTCAACTGAAAAATTCATTTTTCACTTCAAAATACAGTAAAACTCCAAAATGCTGGAATTCCTCTTCAATCGGACTTCATTTTTTCTCCTCTTTCGTATGCTTTTTATCTCGTTCCAAAGGAACAATCTTTCTCCTCTTTGACGCACTTCTTTTGCAAATCTCATAAGTCAATTTTTTTTGGCGTAGGTGAACAATGCGGCGTCAATATTGTTATCGCATTGCTCACTCCCAAGGATTAACACACTTGTTTATCGTTCGATTGTGAATGATTTTAAAGTAATTTTTTTAGTACAAACGAAGCCTTATTCGTGTAAATTGATTTGGTTGAAAATTTCGAATAAGTATATATTATCAATATTGTGAGATTTTTAGCATACTAAATGGTGACTATATTTGATTAAGGCTTCGTATATTTTTAATAAAATGGATAGAATTAAAAAAAAAATAAAATTTAATAGTTTGATAGTTTATAATTTAATTTAAGCTAAGCTATATCATGGTATTATTTCGATCCTCGGGGATAGTTTCAAAATATCAGAAGGATAGGAAAATATTTGGAAATATTTTGGCTAAAATTTTCTATGTTTTGACTTGGCTAAATTTTTCTGTTTTGACGTTGCAAAAATTTGCCCTAACTTAGAAGGATTTCTTCTATCGCATGCGTTTTATTATATGAATACTCATACAATATGAACATAACATGATGGTGAAGGAAACATAACTCTTCATAGTGAATTCTACATAATTATATCATGCTTATAATGAACTATACATATGATGATACATATCTAAAACCTTGCATTGAACCTTGATTGTTTATATGTTATAAATAAAATGATTAAATGAACATGAGATTTATAAATTTTCATCTCTTTACATGATATCTTGCATATCATAAACATATGAACCTAAACTTTATGTTGTTACCAAAAATTATAAGTTTACATGACAATCTTTCCATAAAATTCATACACTATGTGTAGCATATGGGTTTAAAAGAGTAAAATAACAAAAGCAATTCTCATGAACATGATACCTTGTAAATGATGTTCTATGTTTCATCATCACCTAGAACTTGCTTGTGTCATAGTTGATGTTGCATTAGGATTTATGATACGATTTTATATATATCACAATCATCCCGTCAAAATACTTATCATAATAATCATACCATAAGATCTATATCATAGTTGTCATCAGCAAGATCAGTGGCATAATCATCTATAGTAAATCTTAACCATCATATTCTACAACCAAGATCACACTGTCAAATAATAATCTTGTCATATATAATATTCACAACCAATTTGCTTGAGGACCTATTCTAGAACCCTCAACTGCTTTCTCCACTTACTCAAGGGGGCATCTTGCACTAGAATAATTCTAATTAGTTGAAGGTGGAATTTTCATGTGATATGTTTTTTTGTAAATAATTGATGTTGTTTAATTGGGCTATGCCCAATGATATTTTAATGTTTGCTTGCTATCACTTTCTATTTCTATTATTTACTTTTATTTTAAAAAATATTGGATAAAATATGCTTGATAAGCTTTTCTTTATTTTAAAAACTTAATCATCTTATTCTTAAAGTCACTCAAAGAATTTAAGATTGAAAAGGAATCCTCAGTTTCAATAGGTTATAAACTAGCTACTATAAGCTGTGGCAAGTGAAAAATACTAGCCACTATGATTATAGAAAATGGGAAAAGTTTCCTCTAACCTACCAATATCCCACCATTAATATATTTGAGAGTTTTAATGGCTAAATTGTGGAAGCCATTCATAATAAAGATTATTTTATGTCACACTAATGAGAGCAAGAGCTCATACAAGAGATCCTTCTAAAAACAATGCATTTCAAAAAGATTAAAGGCATGATCTGTGACGCCCCAGGCATCCATAGTGAAAGGATTCGTCTGACAGTCTTGATCAATCTCCATTCATGCTCCCTTGCTCGGACCTGAAATTGTTAACCACATATAATGAGCTTCAAAAAGCCCAGCAGGTCACCAAAAACCTACAACTGAAATCAAAGCACGGTACGGAAGCAATATGCATGTCAATCAGTCAAATCTATAACAGTCAGTTGCACATGATCAGTGAATCAATGCAGATACGGAAATCAGTACAGAAACAGTATCGATGCAGATAACGAAAATCAATGTATGAACAGTAATCAGTACAGTAACAATAGTTAATGCGTAAACAATATCAATAAGAAACAGTAACTCCTAAATCCACAGCCACAGTAGAAGAATCAATAAACAGTTCAAAGGTTCGTAAAGCTCAATAAATCAAAAATCAGTTCGTGCATCAAATCTCTTCAGTAGTCGTCTTATCTATCACATCAATCTATAACATAAGTCAGTCGATGTAGTAGAATCGTATCAAAACATATGCTGCAAATCAATCAGTTATTCAATATAACTTTATCATTAAATCATATGCAATCCAGTAATCGATATCACATGTTCCGTAAATCACATATCATTTGATCAGTATCTCAATCATTACAGCAGCGTATGTATCAATATCCATATCAATAACAATTCAGTGATGACATGAACGATTATGCTATAACAGTGAAATCGAATCAATCAGATCAGTAAATTAAGTAATTCCGGTCAATAATATCAATCGGTATGGAATCACATAAAACGATCAAATCAATACATCGTAAGAACAGATGAAATCAAATCAATAAAATCATCGAATACAATTGAAATCAATCAATGCAATAAATCAATAATCACTACTCGGTGTATCACATGTATCTTGTTCGGTGTATCACATGTTATAAGATCGGTACAATGAATCAATGTATCAGTGGTATCGGTATCGGTATCAGTATCGGTATATGTATCCATGAATCAATACAATATCCATATCCATATCAGTATCCGTATCAATATTCAGTGACATGTACCGTATGTAATATCAATAAAATCGTATAGTAATAGTAAACCCGTAAATCCGTTAAATCCATTCAATATCGATAAATCAATTCTATATCAATAAATCAATCGATCTCAGTAAATCAGTAAATCCATCAAGAAATCATAAGAACAGTTTGTACGCATGCAATACAATACAGTAGTCTTACTTAACAAGTACAATCACCGGCTATTAAGGCGTTTTTCAATGTTAGTATCGATGTTAGTAATCCGTTGGCTCAGTGAAAAGAGTTGTCACTCATGCCCGTCGGCGCAGTAATCTCCTTATAACTCCCTTCGGTAATCACGTGATCAGTAGAGGATATCGCCAAACCCTTTTAAAGGAAAGCCCGTCGGCCCACCATCCTGTACAGGTATCATCTCCAACCAACGGTTCAACCAGTCTTTACTTGTCTTTCAGTAATATAACAGTATTTCAATCATATATCCACATTTGTATGCATATTCAATCATTCAAATCATCAATTCAGAAAATCAGAAGTCGTACAAGAAATCGGCGGCATAACGGCAGTATACAGAATTTACACAGAAATCACATATTTAGAAATTTACCAAATTACAAGAAATCGAAGAAAACAACATTACAAAGCTTTACTTGTACTGAAGCACTATTTTTCAACAACCAGATAATTTTATATTAGATAAAAATCGCTCAGAACTCAAAATAACCGGTAAAAACTTTACAGAAAATACTCAAATCGTGCAGAATAAGCATCTCAGAAACATATCAAAAGTTGCGCGGTAAAACTTTCGTCAATACAAAATTATACGCATTTTTCGGTAACGGAAACACAAATCTGAGCACAAAAATATCAAAACTCGAAATCTTCGAAAACATAAATAGGATTCGGAGTCCTTACTGCAAGACGAACAAATCTTCTAACAACGACGACG